TGTGTGTGTGTGTGTGTGTGTGTGTGTGTGTGTGTGTGTGTACATGTGTGTGTGTGTGTGTGTGTGTGTGTGTGTGTGTGTGTGTGTGTGCAAAAACACTTTCCGAGTTGAAATAACCGCTCAATGATTTCAATGAAATCCCAACTTTTGCATTACTGATCCAAACACAATAGCACCTTCTGGACTGTCGCTCCCCAGAAATAGGAGCCAGACCAGGAGGTCCTGTTTCTTCTTTAAAAACAAAAAAGAAAAGATTTCAACAAACAAAAAGAAAATCAAGAAAATAGCAAAAACTCAGGGCAGTTTGACGGTTAGTGCAAAATTCGCCGAAAACAACACCCCCTGTTAACCTCTTATGGACCTGAGCAGAAGCTATGATGCGTTGTATTGACTCTCTCTCTCTCTCTTTTCTCATTCCCTCTTTCTCTGTCTTTCTGTTTGCCTTTCTTTCTCTGTCATTGAATTGCTCTTTCGTCAGGACTGCGAAAGGACGTTTGAGAACATGTGGAGGACACGCGTCTTCTGGTCCACTAAGTGCTTATGGCCCGGGCCAGCGGTGCTCTTTGGTTTCAAGGTAACAGCATATCGAACAGCTCGTCGACACCTTGATCAAGCTCAGCGCCACACATCAGCATCTACAGGTGAAGGATCTGAGCGCTCTGCTGGCTACTCCTCCTCTCCTTCTGTGTCTCTCAGCGATGCCATGAAATATAAAGTCATCATGACGTGGATTGACCACGACTTGGCGAAGCATGCAAATTTGGTGCTGACCAATTTCATGATGGTGATGGCCACCATTGGAGCGATTGTCATCGGTGGAATTTGGTTTGCTTGGAAGATTCTTGCCTTTTTCGGCAGCGGTACATCTCCTCCAATTCGCTCTATTCCACCTGACTATTACCCCGATAGTGCTGACTTCCTCAGCAGCATCACGAAGGGGTACGGTGAATCTCCACAATCAGTGAGGAGAAGCTCTGCGAGACCCTCAACACCAGCCTCGGGACTACGAGGCAGCAGATGATATCTTGTTTTCTTGGGCTGCTCTTATGGCCTGTAGCTTTGATTCAGTTCACTCTTCGCAATTTTCCATGCCGATTGCCAGGGAAAGGTTTCTCTAGACTGACTGCCGCTGTTTCATCACTATATGCAAGGAGTAGGAAGACATGGAGAACAGGGTCTGGGGTAATGGTCAATATATGTAACATATATATAGATATATCATATATATTATATATCGTCAAACAGACATATATGTATTATATATATATATCTGTTTGACGATATATATATATATATATATATATATATATATATATATATATATATATATATATATACTTTGGTTCAGCCTCCTGATCAGTCGGTGAAACTCCGACGAAACAGTTTGTCACAGCCCCTCGTTTGTTGTCCACTTCTCCCTCTCTGCCTACGGTTTACCGGGCAGCTCTGTTTGACGATATATATTTGCTTACCGCACAATCGATATTGTTGCTGCGTGTGCAGATCTGAAGGTTCTGTCAAAATAAGCGTTTGTCGGCAAGCGGCAAGGCCCTCCCCTCTACCATCTGGTACAATGTGAGTGACCGACAAAGGTTCCATCAAGGTAACCCCTTTTCAGGAAGCCGTTATAGTCCCTATACTCCAGTTGATTCAGTCTTGAGGTATTCATCCAGTCTCTTTCGCCGTGTCAAGGTGAGCTTCTGTGGCATTTGATCCCCTGCCTGAACGCACCAGAATGGCAAACCCTAAGTTGTCGAACCTCGTTGTTCTGTGCCCGAATGAATTGAACCGGTCCACGCCAGACTGGTCCATCAAAAGCATGGGCTTCTTGTATACCGCTGAAGTTCCCAAGGATGAGGCTCGTACTGGTGGTTGAAGGGCCACATTCTGGTGCTTCAAGGGTCCCAGCTCCAGCATGGGTCCTTGAATACGCCATACCTGTCACGATGAGGTATTGCGTACCAGGTCTGTAATCCGGACAAACTTCGGGCAAACTTTGTGTTCCTCTGAACCAGCTGTCATATCGTCTCATGAAGTGACAATTGCGATCATCCAATCCGTGTGGACAAGATGGAGAAGGTAAGTGAGCAGGGACAGACATCTTTTTTTGTGCATATCTGAACTGATGATGTCACACGCGATTTGTAATGCCATGGTTGCATCGCATGGTGGCGGGTGCGATTCCACGGTTGTGGGTGCGTTTCACAGCGGTCGCGGGCATGACGGTGAAGGACTGAAATGCGCTTAGGGTACGACACAATGACACATCCTCACGGATGTGTCAATGCAGGTCATGGTGCCGTTATGCGAAGGCTGTAACACTGTGACGGTCTGCTGATGCGAAGCCGTTATGGGAATCCCGTGATGACGCTTTGAAGGCCAGCAGTGATGCAAAGCTTCTCTCAGGAATATGCTTGTTTTTGATAGAGTCTACTTTTTACTGACTTCGCTTAAACAACTACACCTTAATTACAAAGTTTATTCTCAGAACTTTCTGCGAGTGTGCATCAGCAGGATTGTGATGCGAAGCCCTTATGGGAATCCCATGATGACGCTTCAAAGTTTGAAGGCCGGCAGCTGTGGGCTCCCCCCCCCCCCTCCCCACCCCTTCTGCTGCGATATCCCTACTATGATGATGAGAAAGTTAGATAAACTCTGTCTGTTCACCGCTTCACTGTGCCTTGCCGTGCTTTTCAAGCATTTGGTCGGCAGCAAGTACAGCACTCTGGATCGGTAACAGAGGCAATTTTGACATGAGGCCCGATGATGAGGGAGTTAGTTACACCATCTTCCTGAGATGCACACACTCTTGACGAAAGGCAAGCAGTACCAAAGTCTACCGCCTGCTGGTACCGGTCTATCAGGAGAATATGTGGGCCTAGCTCTGGCCACTGTTTAGGCCATGATTGATGTCGCAGTCAGAGACTGGTCCAACTTGGATTCAAATGGACCTCTTGCGGTCACTAAGGCCAAGTGTAACTGTATACGCAACCTCACTTATCTCTTTCGTACACTCTTTTCTGTAGCCCATGTTTCCAGTTTCTGCAACTCCCCCGCCCATATCTTTGTGCTTGCCTGTTTTCTTTCCTCTGCTTCTTCCTCTTTTAGTCCTACTAATCTAAGTTCTTCAGCCCTAGTCTATGTCTACGAACGGCTATCGCAGACATGCTCACACAACTGCTGACATTTCTGCCTACAGACTGAGTAACACACAGCCAGACTACTAACAGCAAAACTGTGAACAGTCAAAACTGCTGCCTGAGAACTCCGTGATGTAGTCATTACCTGACCTTACTGTTCCACGAACCTTCCTCCTCTCTTCCACGAATCTTCATTTCCTCTTCCAAGCTACGGCAGAGTTTCCTCTGTGCGGATTCAGGGACGACAGGAGTTTGCATACGCCGTAGTTCGCGAGGATGACACAGCAGCAGTTTGCATCTGCGTATAGTACGACGACTCATAGTGAGAAGATGAGACAGCTAGTGAAACTCGCCGGTTGTTTCTATGCTGCACACATTTTTCGTTGAATGTAGCCGCCAAGTCTTCAAAGTTGCAAACTGCTGAGAGGTATCACCGTGTTCCGTTTGGGGGAGAATGAGTTTAGTGAGTAACATCAGTTTGCAGATGCATGCAACGCGAGGTGGACTCCTCCAAGACGCTCGCCTACTCGTTTTCTACGCTGCGTGCACTTGGGGAATTGTTATCCGCCTGAGTTTTCTTCGGACTGGCAAGGGGCTGTGGCAAGTCTTCAAAGATGCAATCTGCTCTGAGAGAGACGACTGTGTTTCCTTTGATAGACTGAGTGACAACAGCGGTTTCCCGATGTATGCAAGGTGAGGTAGATTGCTTGGATTGCTCGTCTACTCGTTGTTTACACTGCCCGCGCACTTGGGGAACGCGGGGAATATTATTGTCCGCCGGAGTCTTCGTCGAACTGGCAAGGAGCTCCGGCAAGTCTTCCAAGTTGCAATCTGGTGAGAGCTATGGCTGTGTTTCCTGTGGTAGAACGAGTGATAACAGTGGTTCCCGATGTATGCAAGGTGAGACAGATTGCTTGGGTTGCTCGCCTACTTGCACTCGGGAACTCGGGGAGCTATTGTCCGTCTGAGTCTTCTTCAAACTGGTGAGGAGCTGCGGCAGAAAGTTTTCTCTGTGCAGAGCGAGGATGATAGCAGTTTGCACGTGTATGGGAGGATGACATGGCTGCCACCTTCCCACAAACAGAATGTACGTCGTATGATCATTACGCTCCCTGAATTTGCGGCAACTATAGGTACAGCGATAATGACTGTATGGTCTATTCGGGCGGGTGAAGACGGTAAGATGCTGGTTGTGCACATCCGTCTGCTCTTCTGGTTGTCACCCAGGCCAGGTGCCGATGAGGTTTGCGAGAAACTTCCAGGTGCTGCCACCTCTGTGGTCCTACACATGTACCTCCCTCTGCAAGAATAAGGGGCGACAGTGGATGGGAAAGGAAAAAGTGGCAACATTGATTAGACAGCAATTGTCTGCGACCTATGGCATGGTGTGCAAAGAGCCAGAGGACATTTTTTGAAACGCCTCTCTTCCTGCATCAGGTAGGGGTTCTTTGACTGTTCCAGCTGCAGGCTGAAGCGCTCCAAATGTACCGTATTGTGAAAAGATAAACGACAGAAAGTCCCATCCATACATGCGAGGATGTGAGGTGCTGAATGTCGTCTCGTTTGCAACGAAAACCCAAATTGAGAATGGTTGTGTCCCTACGTGAGCCGCACACGATAAATGTTATTCCCAGGTGGGTGAGTAGAAATGTAGCCGAGGATAAATTTGAAATTGCATTGTGCTGCTGCTGCTGCTGCTGCTCTCTCTCTCTCTCTCTCTCTCTCTCTCTCTCTCTCTCTCTCTCTCTCTCTCTCT